AGGGGGGGGGGGGGCGGAGGACCGTCTTTGCTTCCAACCCACAAAAAAAAAACTGAATCAGCAGAGAGACAGCCATAAGCTCACCCATGGCACAGCGAGGGGGGGAGGGACTACAGGCTTGCTCAGCTGCTAGCGCACGTAAACTTGCACCACGATGTCACAGTCGCACGCCAGAGTGCTGCAAGGGTAGTACGGTATGGTGTATCACAGGAGGGCGGCAGTGGCTGGCGGTCGCCTCGGCTATGGCGAACACGTGTGCAAAAGCCGGGGGGAGTAGGCAACGGCGGGTTGGGCGACAAGGGGCGGCGAGAAGGGGGGAGGGAGGGGGGGGGGGGGGGGGGGGTGGAAAGGGAAGGAGAGGAGGGGAATGGAGAGAGGGAGAGGGAGAGAAGGTTCCGTACCATGGTTGGTCTTTGTCTCTGTCGCTGCTTCCAAGACGGGGCGCAAGGACTGGAGGGGGGAGTTGCCAACACGGGCTGACTGGTGGGCAGAGTCGGGTGGCCACGACCGGAAGTCGTCGTCAGGCAATGGCGCAGTTGGGCGGTTCGGGCTGGCGGGTGGCGGGCCGACGACGGCAGCGGCGTAGTCGGAGGCAGCCGGGCAAGGGGGGAACATGGCCTTGGCTGGAGCTGAGAGTGGGAGATTTACTTGCTCTGGTTGACAGGGAGGTCCGGACGGACGTTCGGCTGGTACATGACCGTGTTCGAGTAGACGTAGACCGGGAGGGCAGCAAGGGCGATGCCGAGGCCGACAAAGACCGTGTTGCGCTTCCACATCTGCGGGTGGCACCACCAGCCACCAGACGGCGACCACACGTGCTTCGGCGTCGGGAACCGCTCAGTGCCTCCCCTGCCCGCGCCCACCCATCCACCCGGTCGGTCGTCCAGTCGCCAGAGCCATCCAAGCGCGCCGTTCCGTCAAGGGTCCTCGTGTGAGTCGACGCTGCGAATTGCCATCGGCCGCTGCCGCGCCATGCCCCCCCTCTCCCCGTCTCGCCCTTCCCCTCTCACCTGCAGGCCACACCAGCGCACACGCTACACAGCCAAGCGGTAAACGAGACCGTGACCACAGGCAGTCGTGCAAGCGAGTATCGCTTGTGGCCGGAAGCAGGCATGGCAAGCGGCGGCAGAGCGGCCGGTCAGAAGGCTGAAAATCGGCCCCGACCTCCCGCCCGTCCACCCAACCACCACCACTCGACGCAAGGCTCATTCACACCACACACCTCCGTCCCGACAAGAGGCACCCATCCCAGCCGTGTTCCCACTTTCACTATCTCTCCCGGTTACATACATGATTGCGTTAGTAAAGTGTTGTCTGGGTAGGTCACTGCCGGGTGCCGAGTGCCGAGTGCAGCGGCTTGCACTGGCGGCCGATCGTGATCGTGATCACGATCTCGATATCGACGGAATCGTTCTACGCAGCCGGCTTTGGGTCGAAGCACCGACAACCATCTCACGAGAACTGCATCATGTCCAAACAACCCAGCAAAGACAAGATACTGGAGGCTGTTGCGTTCGCTGACGAAGATGGGGTCGTTCCGCCGGTCATCGCCCAGCTCGCCGCGGAGGGCAACCAGCAGGTGGCCGCCGCCTACGAGGTGTATGTGGCGGGCTGCGACAAGAAGGACTTTGTTGACACTCTTTGCCGCATCGCAGTGATCGTACCTGAAGACGGCGCTCGGGAGCACAATGGTGCGTCTGAGCCAGTGTCGGCCTTGGGCGAGCCCTTGGCCGCTGCCGGTGACGGTACAGCTGTTCCCGAGTCGCCGGCCGCCATGAGAGCATCGCTCAGCGCGAAACTGGCGACGGAGATCAAGACGTATGCGTCGCGGGCACGCGAATGGTACGGATGGCACTTTCCAGAAATGTCCTTGATTGTCCCAGACGACGTCGCGTACAGCTCGGTCGTCATCGCCATGGGAGATCGCGCCAACGCCGCGACAGCCGACTTTACCGGCATCCTCGACGAGAGCACAGCCGCTCTCCTCCGCTCTGCCGCCGTGAACTCGATGGGCACCGAGTTGGGAGAGACGGACGTGGAGACCATCAAGGGCCTCTGTCGGCAGATCCTCGATCTTACCAAGTTCGCATCGGATGTGTCCAAATGAAGGGAAGCATGTTGGGGGAAGCCTGGCGAGGCGGGCTCGTGAGTCGGCAGGCGCACGCGTGCCCATGCCGCCGCCCACGCCACCGCCGCCACCCCGCACCAACCACAGACCGAGACCGAGACCGAGGCAGCCGTCTCCCTCGCCATCACCGCCACCATCACCTCCTCCGGCATGCTCTGTGAAATCTCAGCGACGTCCAACTTTGTGGTCACTTGGTTGGTGCTGACCATCCTCGGCGTGGTGGCGCAGTTTGTGCTCTCGGGCATTCCGTTTTGGCTCCTCTACGTCCGGCCGAGCTATGCGACTTGGCGATGGAAGACCAACGGCAAGTACCCAAGCGCATGGCACGTGCGGAACGAGATTGTAGAGATGCTGCGGTCACTGTGGGCGGCGACGATGTGTCCGGCGCTGGCACTGTGGATGAGCCAGCACGGGATGGGTCAGGCGTACTGCGGCGTCTCTCCGGCGTCCGGGCTCACCGTCGGGTACCTGGCGGTGACGACAGTGGCGGTCGTCGTCATCTCGGACTATTACGAGTTCCTCTACCACTGGTGCGGTCACCGATTTTCGGCGATGTGGAGCGTGCACAAGTCGCACCACATCTACGCCAACCCGAGCCCGTTTGCCGTCATTGCCGACGAGGCGCCGGACCAGTTTATGCGCTCGCTCCCGCTCCTAGTCTTCCCGCTCGTCATTCCCATCAACATGGACATGATGTTTATCATGTACTCGGTCATCTTCTACGGCTACGGCACGTACCTCCACACCGGCTTTGAGCTCCCGTTCCTCTCGGCGCACAACCCGCTCATCAACACCTCGTACCACCACCACCTTCACCATGCGCTCTCCATCAAGAACAAGCCGTACCACACCGGGTTTGCCATCAAGCTCTGGGACAATATCTTCGGATCGGTATACCCCAAGGCCTGCTTCTGCGTCGTCTGCCAGCACGCCGCCGGCAAGCGAACCCGCGCCGAGTACGATGCCGTCGTCAAACCAAGTTACGCTCCGCTGCTCTCGCCATCGTTCTGGCTCCACGGACCACCCGACGCCGGCCTTCCGGCCAAGGCCGAGTAGCGAGAACTTGTCCCAGGCGTACAACTTGCCTCCTCCCGAGCCTGGCCTCGACGCAGTCCCGATCTGTCGCCGACTGCGTTGAGGCGCGCCGAGAGCTCCAGCTGGCCGATGCGTTTGCAGCGCTGTCGGCCGTCGCCAGAACGAGCGCAACTCTCATCAAGCCAAAAGTCATCATCAAACGTCGTATCACTGCCTCCACATAGTGGGCGAGCCCGAGCCATTGGCTGAAGTCGTAGGTCGACGACGAGCGAGCTGCGAGCGAGCGAGTGGCGAACTGGGAGAGCGACCGGAGCGTGTGCCACGTCGCGTGCTCGCAGCAACATTTCGCGAGAACGGCGGTCAGACTGCACTCGCTCGTGCCCCGGCCACTGTGCACAGCTAGCTGCTCGTTGTCGCTGCGCCAGGCCGGAGACAGCAACACAGGTGAATTGGCCGGAAGAGACGGATATGGACCACAACAGCATGGAGGCTATGGTGTTCTACTCGGGCTCAACGCTGCGGAAGAAGGTGTGGAAGGAGCACAGCATTGCGCTCCGCGGCGCACAGGTCTTTCACTTTTACCGCACAGGCAAGCCGAAGGAGGTCATCGCCCTGACACACGACGTCGAGATCGACGTGGCTGGACACAACGAGGACGTGCTCGGCAGGCTTAACTGCCTGCGGCTCTCGGACGGCAACGGCCGCTCGTGGACCTTTTCCTTTGGCTCGTACGAGACGGCGTGCGCGTGGGCGTCGGCCCTCGCCGCCGCCCGCAAGTCTGCCGATGACGAGCCCGACGTCGACCTTGACGCGCATGTCTGGTACTGGGGCTCGACGCTGCGCAAGCGCAAGTGGAAGTACCACTCGCTCTCCATCCGCGACTGCAACCTGTATCACTACCGCGAGAACGGGTCGGTCAAGGAGACCTTTGTCCTTGCGCCCGGCGACGCCGTCGAGCTCGACGAGGGCGGGAGCCACGGCAAGCCGAACCAGCTCACTATCACCGTGGCTGGCAAGGAGACCGTCTTTGCATTTACCTCGTGGGAGGAAGCCAGAATATGGTCTGTCTCCATTCTGGCCGCCACGGGCGTCAAGCCGTCCAAAGACGACGCCGCCATTCTGCGCTCGCTCTCCACCTTTAACGGCGCTGCCATCGACCACTCGTCTGATTCGGACTCGGACGACGGTCCGGCCACCCCAGCCGTCTTGAATCTGCCCTCCAAGTACCGCGACCCAGCGCTCGAGGCTCCGCTTGCCTCGCTTCACGACAACGACTTTGACTCGTATGACGACGACGACACGTACGGCTCGCCGCCGCCGCCTGCGGACATCCGCTCATGACCGACAGGGACGGCCAAGAGCATCAAGCTGCACGTCTCACAGCGGGTACGGGCTCCCGACCATGTGCCTCGAGGGGTCAATCCTCGGGGCGCGCGTCTGCGGCTCTTCGTCATCGGTGGACGACGAGGTCGATGAGGATGTTGACGCCGACGACCCCGACCCCGAGCCCGCAGGCTGGACCACGAGAACGTGGCCGTCGCAGGAGAGCGCCGTGCTGGCGACAAAGTGCACAGCGTCGCCAAACGAGCTAAACGCGACCGGAACCTTGTTCTTGGAGTCGAGGTTGTACCACACACCGTCAATGGCCGTCACAGTGATCCAGTGGCGGCTCGAGCCAAACAGCGCTCGCTTGCGGCGAAAGTTGAGGACGACGCCGCCGCGCGGCGACTCGGGCACCCCTGCCATCAGCACCGCCAGCTCCCGTCGCGAGTCCCACCAGATTGTGCCGAGCCCATGCTCTGCCAGAGCGGCCTCGAGCACGTTCACATCGTAGTTTCCCAGCATCGATTTGTGCGCCGCCGCCGGCAGGTCAAGTGCCTTGGCCTTGCGCTTCAGCTCGCTGGCTATGTGGTCAAGCGCAGCCTTGGTGAACGCTCTGCGCTGCAGTAGCGCGTTGAGCGAATGCACTAGGCAGAGCTTCTTCTTCTGTCGCTCAAAGTAGACCTCGGCCGCGGCCATGGTCGTAGGGACCGGCTTGCGGGTGGAGTGTGACAATGGGAATACTCGGCGGAGGAAGACAAGCGGCCACAACCGCGGCCGATGGTCAGCCAGCACAGGCACAGCGATCGCCAAAGAGAGAGAGAGAGTGTGTGTGTGTGTGAGTGAAGACTTTACCGAAGCATTTGTCGACAACTAGGCCATCAGCAGCCAGGCGGCCACGAGAGCTGCTTGCCGCCGATGACGTGCAGGTGGATGTGGTAGACCGACTGGCAGCCGTTCGGGCCGTCGTTGATGACGACACGGAAGCCGTCATCAGCGATGCCCTGCTCGCGAGCCACAGCCTGCGCGGTGTACATCAAATGTCCGAGCAGTGCCTTGTCGTCCTCCTCGGCCTTGGACAGCTGCGAGATGCGGCGCTTGGGGATGACCAGAAAGTGGGTCGGTGCCTGCGGGTTGACGTCCGAGAACGCCATGCACTGATCGTCCTCAAACAGCACATTTGCCGGAATATCACCAGAGATGATCTTGTCAAAGATGGTCGGCTTGGACATGTCCTCCGGTGGCGCAACACCAACCTCGCTCATGCTCCTGCTCGACGCCGCCAGAGCCCGTCGCCCCCAGCCGCCAGCCGCCACCCCACCCAGCCCGCCGCCCATCACCCCACGAGCAGCATTCCGTATCATGGCCAGCATATCCCACGCCTCCACTGTGCGTCAGTCGAGTGTGCACCCGCACCCTCTCCCACCAACCCCACACTCCCATGCCCACCCCACCCCCACCCCTGTCTGCCCGCAGCGCGACCTGTCACCACCTGGTCACCACCCACCACCACTACCTACCACCCACCACCACTACCCACCACCCACCACCCACCACCACTACCCACCACCAACTGTGGATCCTACCTACCTTGTAATCAGACTATGAAGAGACGTAATGGCAACAGCCCCCGCCACGCCACCCGTTTGACTCTGTGTCACTCCCCCCCTCCCCCTCCCCACTCGGCCCTTCGCCCGCCAGCCGAATGCCACCTCTCCCCGCAGTTCGGCGACATGTCCCTCACCGAGAACGCTCCGGCGTCACCAGGCGGTGGGATTACCGGCATGAAGCGCGAGCTCAGCATGGACAAGGAGAACTCTTTTGCCCCTGTGACGGTACGTGCATGCCCATGCGGGGCAAGAATGGCGGGCATGTGGCCTGTGTCTCCCCCCTCTGTGTTGGCAAATGTTCAAACTGTTCCCCCCTTTTTGGCGCCAAAGCCACCGACTCACCACCGTCATACCACTTCCCCGACGACCGAACACACGCCCACACGCCGGCCCATGTACATGCTCAGCCGACACGCGCGTCCAAGAAGCGGGCTCTGCTCCCTCGCGGTGCTGCGTCGCTCAATCAGGATCCGTCAGATAAGGAGGCGGCCGCCAAGCCGCGGGCCAAGTCGGTCGGACGGCGCTCGCTTGGCGCCTTCCGTCCTCTCGGTGCAAGCCTGCTCGAGGCGAGCGACCCGCCGGTAGCGGCTGCTCTCGCTGGAATCCGTCCGGGTCGCCGCTCGCTCGGTGCCTTCCGCTCGCACGCCTCTTCGCTGCTTCAAGGCCAGGAGGCGCGGAGGCGCCCTGGCCGTCGCTCCATCGGCACGTTTGGCGCGCAGACCCCGATGCAGCCGCAGCAGGAGCAGCCGCAGCAGCCACAGCAGGAGCCACAGCCGTTGATCGAAGAGATGGTGCCGGTTGAAGGCAATGCACGGCAGCCGCAACCAGCAACCGAGCTCGTGGCTGCCGTCGAGACGCTGACGACGGCCAACGCGGCGTTTGACGAGGTCGCACCGGCCACGTTTGACTCTGACGATGACACGACATCAATTCTTCCTGGCGGCCGGGCGCCGCTGCTCAACGCTGATGGCGCAACCACAGGCATCCTCGCTGTGTCGGGAGCGCGCAAGAAGGCACGGCGGTCGCTCGGCAGACGGGTCTCGTTTGCGCCGACCATCGCCTCGGTCCGAGAGTACGAGAAGCGGCACGAGGAATGGATGTCGCCGCAACCAGAGTCTGACTCTGACGCCGACCTTTCCGGCTACGGCGCGAGCATGCATCCGCTAGGCGACGCGCCTGTGGCCTCGTTCTCTGCTCTCGAGTCGCTCTCGACCTCGCTGGCTTCGTCGGCCAACACCTCGATGTCGTCGAACCTCGACTCGATGCTTGACTCGACGGTGAGCAGCGAAGGCAACGAGTCGATGGGCCCTCTCATGTCGCTCAACGACCTGTGGCAAGCCGATCCACAGGAGTCGATCGCCACGCCGGCCGCCGCCGAGTTCTCGTTTGATTCCGACGAGGTCGACGACGATTCGATCGAGCTGACCGAGACTTTTTCGTCCAAGCCAGCCTACGTCGCGTCGTCGGCCGTGGCCTCAGCAGCACTTCTCACCCTCACAACCGACGAGCGGCTGTCAACGACGGTGGATGAGGCCGCGCCAAACCCAGCGTTCGACATTGCACCGTCGGCGAGCCTCGCTGTCGACGATGATGACGACGACTCGATGCTTAGCCAGGCAGGCACTGGTCAGCAGGTCTTTACACTCTCTCGTGTCCCCACCAAGAACCTCTCACAAGCATTTGAGCAGGAGGCTCTTGCCGCCGCACCGGTGTCTGCGCCCTCTGGTGCCGACTCTGAGGACGACTCGATGGAGATGACCGAGACTGTCAGCGCCGATGCTGTTGCGGCGGCGTTTGATGTCGACTCGCTTCAGGGTCTAGATGCCGCTGACGACGACACCATGGAGATGACTGTCACCGTCGGAAATGTCAAGGCCGAGGCGGAGGTCGAGGCGGAAGTCGAGGCCGAGGCAGACGCTGACGAGTCAATGGAGATGACGACGACCATCAACGCCGACGTGGTGTCTGCCGCCGCCACTGCCGCGGCGTTTGACGCCACTCCCGCAGACAACTCGCTCGATCTGCTCGACAACGACACCATGGAGATGACTGTCGCCGTCGGAAACGTGAAGGCCGAGGCGGGGGTCGAGGCTGACGAGTCAATGGAGATGACGACGAACATCAACGCCGACGTGGTGTCTGCCGCCGCCACTGCCGCGGCGTTTGACGCCACTCCCGCAGACAACTCGCTCGATCTGCTCGACAACGACACCATGGAGATGACTGTCGCCGTCGGAAACGTGAAGGCCGAGGCGGAGGTCGAGGCGGAAGTCGAGGCCGAGGCAGACGCTGACGAGTCAATGGAGATGACGACGACCATCAACGCCGACGTGGTGTCTGCCGCCGCCACTGCTGCGGCGTTTGACGCCACTCCCGCAGACAACTCACTTGATCTGCTTGGCGACGACGACGCCATGGAGATGACGACCACTGTCGGCTCCGAGGTCGCACAGGCAGCGTTTGATGCAGCCCCTGTGCCGATGGATGTTGCTGATGAGTCGATGGAGATGACAACGACGGTAGGCACCGTTGCGCCGCTGCCGGAGCCGACGCTCTCGATGGACGAGTTCCTAGTCCGGACCTCAGTCCAGCTGTTTACCCAGTTTTCGACACGCCGGCCGACCCTCCTCCCACCGCCGCCGATGCCAACCGACGACCCGATTGCGCTCGAGCTGCTCTCGGTCTTTGTCCTCGGCCCAGAGACCTCGATCTTTTCGTTTGGCTGCACTCAGCTGGAGCAACTGACCGCCTCGCTACACGAGCGCGCTAACGCGCTGGCGGCGTCGCTCTCCTCCGACAACGCGCCAATCATGAAGGCGCTGGCGCTGGCCCAGCCTGGCTCGGCTGAAGAGTCAGCGCTCGTCGACCGGGTTGTCGATCTCAAGGCTCTGGCCAAGGGTCGGGCCAAGGTCAAGTGGTACGCCTGGCTCGCCAAGCTCAACGGCAAGCTCGCTGCCGGCTACTCGCGCTCCTCGCAGCTACTGGAGGGCGATCTGGCCATCCTGGCCCGTGCCGCAGGCGTGTGCGAGACGTCGCGCGACCTTGCCTCACTGTACGACTCCAAGATCAACACCCTGACCAACCTCCACAAAGCCTCGGAGCTTGCTGCGCTCCGGACCGAGTTGGCAGCGGCCACAAGCGCCAACTCGCAGGCAGCGGCCGGTGTCGCCCACCTCGAGGCCACCAAGGGCCTTGCCGAGGACGGCCTTCGTGGCCTTGCGCTGAAGCGCAACGCGCTGAAGCGTGCCGCGGCCCGAGCCGCAGCCTCGGCTGCAGGGTGCGAGACCTCGTACGAGGCCGTCGAGGCGCTGAGTGAGACTCTCGCCATTGTCCGTGGTCTCTCGGACTGGTCGCTCAAGGCCTTCAAGGCCGACGCCTCGATCGCACTCACCTTTGGATCCGAGTTTAGCGTGGCCCTCCAGCTCCAGCCGTCGCCGGCCGGGCGGACACTTCTGACTGGAACCAGCGCGGCTGTGCTGCCGGAGGCCAACGTCTTTGTTGCGCCTCTCTTTGACGCCATCGGCATCGACGCCATGCTGTACATGGACGCGCCGCTGCCATACGACGGACCTGCAGTCCGGGCCATTCTCGATGATCTCGAGCTCCACTTTGGTCGAGTCATGCTTCTCTCGCGCCAGCTTGCCCAGCTTGCCGCGCTCTTCGACATCTCGTACGAGCCGCTGCCCGGCACCGGAGACTCGGCGGGGTCGTCGTCGCAGGCACTGTGCCTTCGCTTCAACTCGCTTCGCTCCTCGACTCGCTTTGCCGTCTACCTTCCGAACCTCCACCATGACCACCTCGTTGCTGGACCGGTCCTTGACGCTCGGGTCGTCATTGAGGCTGCTCCACACACTCCCATCGCCGAGGCGACCGTTCTTGCCGCCATCGCCGCCATCTCGCCGTCGCTCACCCGTCTGCGCTCGCTCGTCCTCGCGCTCGACGCGCTGTAACCTGAATAACACCAATAACTGCTTTACTCGTTGGCATCTTCCGCGTGATCGCGGCCAGATGGCGCGTGGTGGAGCACGGCATGCTCAAACGAGCCGGGCGGCGGGTCAAAGACAAAGCCGCCGACAACAGGTCCGTCGCCATCCGCCTGCCCAAGCTGGACAGACGAGCCTGACGCCTCGGCAGCAGCAGCAAGAAAGTCCTTGAACGAGCGGCCGTCGCCTGACTTGCGATGGACAAGCTCGAGCTCGTTGACAATGTCATACGGCTCGTAAAAGAACGTTCGCTTGGCGTACTTGTACACCAGGTCGGGCACGATGCAGATGACGGGAACAAGGAGCAGCGTGAACCAGAACACACCCGTTCCGTACATCTTGGTCCCGACACCCAGCATGTTAGCTGCGTCATCAGAGATCTCGCCCATGAACGAGAAGACGGCGATCCAGAAGAAAAAGCCAAAGAGCGAGAGGCCGACAGCGGCGAGGTTGAGCACGGTCCAGTTGTTGGTCTCCAGCGCGAGCTTGAGGGTGACAGTGAGGACGACAACGGCCATGATGATGACGCCGTTGCCAAAGATACCGGTGGTGCGGCCATCCGCGCTGAAGATGCCGTGCTCGATGGCTGATGAGGTGACAAAGAAAAAGACCAGCGAGTGGTAAACAGCCGAGAGGATCCAGCCGGCAAACATCTTGATAGAGAAGAAGCGCTTGCGGATGCCCGAGGTGTAGAGCTGCGGAAAGGTGTTGAGTACTTCGCGTGAGAGGCACTGGTCAAACAGGCCAACGATGAGGATGGGCAGCGCGGTGTAAACCACGTTGTACAGCGAGAACGTCCACTTTTCCACAAACGACTGGCCAGAGAAGCCGTTGACAAAGACAAACCAGAAGGGAACGAGTGCAAGCGCCATGTTCTTGTAGAACGAGTAGAGGATGAGCTTGGCAATGCGGTGATAGCACCAGTGGCCGTGGACAAGAAGCAGCGGCTTAAGATAGCGGAACTGGCCAAAGGCGTAGTCGGCCGAGTTGGAGGCCTGCTGGCCTTCGCGGCCCGAGATGCCAACGCCAATGTTGGCGGCCTTGATCATGACCACGTCGTTGGCGCCGTCGCCAATGGCGAGCGTGATCGGATGCAGGTTGTCCTTGACAAAGTTGACCACCTGCGCCTTTTGCGCCGGCGAGACCCGGCAGCCAATGACCGACTTGCACTGCATGGTGAGGTCGAGCAGGGCCTTGGCTGTCTTGGCCGTCAGCTCGTCGTTGCTTGACGAGCCAGCGTCGCCGAGGAGCGCTTCGAGCGTGTGCCCGTCGACCGCGCACTGGAACTCAAACGCAGGGTCGCGCTCGAGCGTCTCGCGCATCTCGGCGAGCTTTTGCTCCATGATCGGCAGCATGCGCTCCTGGGCACGCTTGACGGCGGCGAGGCGAGCGCGGTGCTTTTCCTCGTCGGACGCCGTCTTGTCGATCTTAAACTTGGCCGTGTCGGCCTCCGAGTCGCCCTCGTCGTTGAGAATGACAATGTCTTTGCCCTGGTCGAGCAGGTTGCAAGAGTAGCCGATCTGAATAGCAGTATCCTGCTTGTCGCCAGTGAGAACCCAGATCTTGATGCCGGCCTTGCGGAGAGTGGCGATGGTCTCGGGCACGCCATCTTGCAGCCGATCCTCGATGGCCGAGGCGCCGATGAGGATGAGGTCGCGGTTGTCGGCCTCAATCATGCGGTATGCGAGCTGCATCTTGGTCTTCTTCTCCTTGTAGCCTTGCGAGCCCTTGGGTCCGCCGGGCATCTCATTGGCCTCGTTGTAGATGGCGTTGTACGCCTCATACGCTTCCTCGTCAAGAACCTTGTAGGCGAGGACCAGTGTGCGGAGGCCCTTGGCGGCAAAGAGGGTGAGATGCTCATCGGTCATGTCCTTCTTGCGCATGTTCTCAGCGTCGTCCTCGTCGAGGAGCGGGAGGACAAACGAGTCGGCGCCCTTGACAAACAACACCTTGGTTCCATCGGGCATGCCCACCACGACCGACATCCGCTTGCGGGTGTTGTCGAAAAAGTTGAAGTTGAGCATGTCAAACGTCACATCGCGGCCCATGACCGAGACGGTGTACGTGTCGGGCGTCCGCGAGTGGAAGAGGTAGCCAAAGTTTGCGGCGGTGTAGACAAGTGCGCCCTCGTCGGGCGAGCCGGCCTGGTATGAGACGCCGGTAGATGACTCGGTGTCGGCACGCGGAATGACGGTGTGGTTGAGGGCACAGTTGAGGAAGAATAGCTCGATGTCGGCCGCAGTGTAGCCCTGGGCGCGGAGGTCAGTCACCATGGCGTTACCCTCGTCAACAAACTCGCAGTGCGGGACAGCGAGACCCTTGAAAAGTGGTGTGTCCTCCAGCTCGGGCCCGCCCTTGGTGAGGCGGGCAAGCCGCCCGGCCGAGCTCCGGCTCCGCTTCGGCGGCGCGCCCTTGAGTGCAACTTGGACGGTTTGCGGGCCGCGCGGCGGCTTGCGGGCGGACGGGCCGCCGGCCGGGTCTGAGTACGAGTAGGTGTAGAACGACTCTGAATACGAGTACGAGTAGCTCTCGAGTTCGTAAGAGTCGGCGTCGTCGCGGGCCGTGGCACCGGCACCGCGGCCGGACTCCTCCTCTTCCTCCTGCTGCTCGTCGCCGAGGTACGAGTACTCCGAGTAGGCTTCATCAGCGCCACCGCCGCGGCGGTGGTGGTGCTGGCCATGGCCTGCGCCGCCGCCACCGCCCACAGAGGTCTTGACGGTGCCGAGCGATCCCTCGGAGACAAACTTCCGGATTTTGCGAGCTCCTATGGCGGCAAAGTCAGTTGTGCCCGCGCCGTATGCCTTGCCGCCGATGGAGGCCTTGACGAAAACAAGGTTATTGCAGGTGAGGGTGCCGGTCTTGTCGGAGAAGATGTACTCAACCTGGCCGAGCTCCTCGTTGAGAGCCGAGGTTCGGCACTTTGCGGGGATGTTGTCGGCCTCGTAGAACATCTCGAGGTCCTGGTTGATCCACTCGGCCTGGCCAACCTTGACGGTCTCCATCGACACGTAGAGGGAGATGGGGATGAGGTTGGAGTAGAGGATGAGGAAGGTGAGGACAGAGAACGCGCCCTGGGCAGCCGGCACAAGGTCGCCCATGTGCAGATACATGGCGGTGTCCTGGTGGTCGCGGATCCAGATGCCGTAGCCGGCGGCCGAGACAATGCACATGAGAATCTGGAGCGCGAAAATAAGGATGATGAGCCGGTTGGTCACCTTTTCGATGTCCGAAGTCTTCTTGATCTTCTTCTCGTTGGCGGTCTGCATCTGGAGCTTGGTGTGCTTTCCGGTGTAGATGACCATGGCGTAGATCCACTTGGTGTACTTGAGCTGGCAGCCGGTGAGTAGGACGTTTTTGGGGTCAATCCGCTGCGACTCGCCGCCGGCGAGGGTCAGCGAGCCGTCAAAAGAGTCGATGCGGTTGTTGGGGCCCTCGCACTCGAGCTCACCACGGAGGCCTAGCAGTTTGGGCGCAGAATCGAGCACATCGCGCGTCGAGCGCATCGCCAGACGCTCCTTGAGATTGGTCTCGCCGTCGAGGTTGCGCGTCTCGATGTAGCACATGCCGGCCGGCTCCGAGGTGGAGAGCAGGAGTAGGTCAGCCGGGAAAAACTGGTTGTCCTCGATGCGGACAATGTCGCCGACAGCAACGTCCCGCGAGATGATCGGCCGTGGGGCGTTGAAGCCGTCGCGGAGGACGAGGATCGGCCGCGAGTTGACTTCGGCGTCGGAGCGGTGGCGCTTGTAGTCCTCCCACGCGTCCTTGATGGCGGTAAAGGTGAGGACGACGACAAGGGTCATGGCCGTCGTCCCTTGCCCGAGCGGCGATGCGCCCGGAATCTGCTGCAACAGGGCAATGAGCAGAAAGTAGAGGTTGGCCACTCGATGGAACTGAGCAAAGAGGTTGACGGGCAGAAAGTTGAGCACCGTGTACTGGGCGGTGACCACCTTGTTGTTGGGGAAGCCCATCTCTGCGTTGCGTTCCGCATCGCCTACATAAACCATTCGGCGCGCAGGCACCTTGGGCTCGCGATTGAAGCACGGCATGGCGACTGCAGTACCGAGTGGATGGGTGGGGGAGGGTGAGTTCGTTGTCTGTCGCACAGCTGGCTGCGGGTGGTGCGGACTGGGCTCTCTGTCGCTTGGCACTGCTGGGAGAGGGAGGAGGAGAGATGGAGCGGAATGAGGAGAGAGGGAGGGGGGAGGGGAGGATTT